AGATGAGAAACAAAAGAGAAGAATAAACACAGGGCGCGTGACTTAAGTGAACAGACATTTGCTGTTGCTGGAAGCTGAGCCATGGGACTGAACCAGGTATTGATGCACAGAACAATTGTAATGGTAATTTGCTCCCCGGACACTGAGCAATGGAACACAGAGAACATTGCCACCACCAGACATTTTCCCTTGGTGAATACTGGTCATTGGTGGAAGCCTACATGGATTCGATAAACAGCAGCTATCAATGGACATTTGCTCCCTCGTGAGCATTAGCCAACAAGGAGCACTGGACATGGATGGGCAAGGCCACATAGGCCTGTGAAGGCCTCTATTGTCATAGAATTGCCCTTGATAGGCTTTAGGTTGAGTTGACTGGTAACTCTGTAGTTGCATCAAGTGAGCGGTGGGTAGGCCTCTACCTCCTAATCCCTGGCAGTCTGGCCCAGAAAAATATCCCAAGAATGGGTTTGATGGAGTTGGGAGCTGGTGTCTGCCTCTCTGCCTGTCCTTTCCCTCTGAAAGTCCTTTGACTGAGGTGTGAGAAAACCAGTAGGGTGTGTGTGTGTGTGTGTGTGTGTGTGAGAGAGAGAGAGAGATTGAGAGAGAGAGAGAGAGAGAGATTGAGAAATGGAGGGAGGGAGGGAGAACACTGACAGAAAGGAATTCCTGCATTTGGAAGATTCTTATCCACTTTGTTCTGGGAACTAGAGGGATTGTCATCCTGACCAACACTATCTAGGCATTTGCCTTTTTCTTTTCTGTAAGCACAATGATCAAAGGCTCAGCAGGGTACTTTCTTTCACAGTGGGACCTTAGGACTGTGTTTGCTTTGCTCTTGCCAAATTGACATTCTTAATTTTTGAACAAGGAATCCCACATAGTCATTTTACATAGGGTCCCTCAAATTACTTTTCCAGTTCTGAAGACTAGAATCCCAGCCACGCGTCATGGAACTGAGGGCTGCTCTTCTCTGGGCCTCAATCGTCCCATCTTCCAAAAGGAGCCAGAAGAGGAAGGACCTTGACCTTTGGCTTTTAAAAAATATATATTTTTAAAATTGTCGATGGACCTTTATTTTATTTATTAATTTTTTAAAATTTATATGTGGTGCCAAGAATCGAACCCAGTGTCTCACACATGCTAGGCAAGCGCTCTACCACTGAGCCACAACCCCAGCTCTACCTTTGGATTTTTTAAGGATCTAGAATCAATGGTCTGGTTGGAGATATTTACAGCTGCATAACTTCCCCCAATTTATTTGCAGTAAAGAAACAGATGGAATCCCAGTGCTCTTTGGAGTCTCAGAGTACCTACCCTCTCTGATTCCTGGGAGGTGCACTGGCCCAGTCCCTGAGGTAGGACAGGAAGAATGGGGGAATGGACACCTAACAGATGAGGCAGGCCAAACTAGCTTCCTCATCTGTTGGTGACAAAAATACCTGGTACAGGTGTGAGGAGAAAACGGTGGCATGTACAAGTGCAAGGAGCATATGCCCAGGAAATGGAATCTGCATAAAATGAAGTGCAAGGAAATGTTTGTGACCCTGCTCGCCTCTTCCCATTTCTAAACTCCCCCACATGGACAAATACCTGTCCCACATTAGGCACGTGAAAGCTAAGAGAATGAGGATAGGGGTATCGTTCTGTGATTCTACAACCTAAAACTTTATGAAATTCTCCAGTTTTGAGTAAGTTAACAAAATACGGCTGGTAGGTTCCCTGGGTTCTGTAAAGCCTCCATAATTCTGTGGTTGACTGAGGGAGGGAAAGGGCACTTCCGAGGCTTCTGTTTGTGGCAGCCACAGTCCTTGGTCCTTTACACATGTTACGACATTTGCTCTTCACACAATCCTGTGGACAGAGAGATTTTCATCCCCATTTTCCAAGCTCGGAGAAGTGACTATGCCAAAGTCATACTGGTGATTGGCGATGAACCCAGGACTTTAACCCTTCCCTGTGAACTGAAAATTATTTATTTTCGTAGGAATCTCTTCGATTCCGTAAGGTTCGAACGCCCTCATCCTAGGTGCCGGGATACCCGGAGGCCCGGTGAGGCCCGGGCATGGGCCGACCGAGGGCAGGAGACCAGCCGCTCAAACTGCGCAGGTGCACTTCGCCTTCAGCCGCCTTCACATCCGCGTTCTGGCTCGAACTCTTGGGGTGCCTGGCCCTATGTGGCCACAAGGTGGCGCTGCGGGCTGGGAGCCCTTGTGCTGCGCCAACGGGACCTCGCGACGCCGGTTGCTTAGGCTGTTCCTAGGCTACTCAAGGCAGGCAGGAGGAGAGGGCTGCAGAGTGCAAGGCGATGCCCGTAAGGATGGAAGAGCCCGCAGTGTGATGGCGTGTGCTCCCACTCCTGCCGGGTTTTGCATCTGCGGAAGCTGCAGAAGCCCTTCCCTACTCTTTTCTACCTCCCCATGTGTTGTTTCTAACTTTAAGACCCTTGTGTTTTAAGGTTCTCCTTGAAGGACACCTGCGGCAACATGGCTTTGCGAGACCCAAACACAGTGGGTGAAAGCACCTGCATTTGAGTCTTCTCTAGTCCCAGAGAATGCAGGTGGTTCCAGGAGGATGGATCCCAAATGGACCTGCGTGGGAACATCGGACTGTGGGGCCTGGGTTTCTGCCCATGCCTCTTTCATACAGTATCTGCTGGGAATCAGCAACTATGGTTTGTAGGCCTCCCTAGGGAGACCTGATTGAAAAAGGCAAGCTCCCCACCGGCAGCATATCCATGGCCTGAATGTTCTAGACTCTGTGCATTGACCCCTTCATCCATGACCTCTTCCAAGCCTCCCTTGTCTGGTCCACTTGTTCTGTGCTGTATGGATCTTCTACAAGGGTCTCACCGCCCCCGAGCTTCACCTACAGCCAGGGGTCCTCTGTGTGTCCCCACCTTTCCCATCCTAAGAATGGAAGTCCTCCTAGGGCAGAGATTGAGGTGAAGTCATCTTGCAGTCTAGCACAGGGCCTGGCACAGACCAGGTATCAGCATAGCTTCTCACGGGTGACCATAGTGATAGACACTCCTGCAGACCAGCCGGTTGGAAGAAAGAACTTGGTGAGAGAGCAAATGCATCCTGATGAGCTGAAAGTGAGCCCCTGTCACAATAAGTGTGCAAATAGGAATTGGGGTACTGTGGCAACAGAAATGCCAAGGAAGGATAAACCATTGCATTTAGAAGGGAGAAGAGGGGACTTCAGGGAAAGCTTCTAAGGTGAGATACTAACAGGGTAGACTGGGTGGGAAGGAGGTTGAGGGGCACGGATGGGACAAAGGCAGAGATGGGCAAGGCTTGGTAAGCTCATAGCTTTGGCTGGACAGCTGATGGGTGGAGTGGGCCGTAGGAGGGAAGATGAAGGTGGGTGGGGTACAGGCTCCAGTGAAAGATCTAGTCCATCTGAGTGACTCTGTCTCTCATATCACCTCACTTCTCAAACTCTGGGAGATTACTGGGCCTTTCAGGGAAAATAAGCCCTCCAGGGCAGAGCCTAACTTGATTCATCCTTGTGGCCCCAGAGCCCAGCCCAGGGATTGTCAGTGGACATTGGCTGCATGATGAAAAGAACTCTTTAGTGTTTATTAAATCATGGACCAGTCAGGTGCTGGGTTGGGCTGGTGGGGGAAGCCAGAGTTCTTGCTGCCCTTGGGCATCTCTGAGACCAGCCCCAAGATGCTCACAGGGCCACTGATGGCTGACTTCCCCACAACCCTGCCAACAGGTGCCCAGGATAAAGTATTACAAAAGTGAACAAACATTCTTCTTCTTTTACAAATGACGTTTCCATCCCCTGCCAGCAGTGGTGTGTATGTGTGGGTGTGGGTGTCTGTGAAAGTGACAGTCCATCAAAAAAGGCAACACTTTTATCAAATGAACACAAAGGGAAGAACCCAGGGCTGGGACACTGAGATGCTGCCCTAGGGGTGGAGTTTAAATGGCATAGGGAGACCCTGCCTCTTCCTGCTCTACTCCTGGGAGGGTGAGAGGAGCTTTTGGGTTCAGGCCCACGGGGACTGAATCCAGGAGCCCTGTTGGAGCTCATGGCCAGATGGGATTCCAGAATTGCATTGACAACTTGGGGAAGCATCTAGAGGCAGGGTCTCAGGAGAATATGGACTTATTTCCAGTCTTGACACTGGGGCCCCCACCCCAGAGTGAGAAACTTGTAGGCCTGGGACTGGCATGCCCCAAGCTTCCAGAGGCTCTGAAGGGGGAACTGACTTTGCTCATGCCACATGAATGATCACTGGACCCAGAGTCCCACTTCTGAGGCCCTTACCTGTCTTGCTACTGCTGCTGCTGGGGATGAAGGGGAAATGGGACAGGCAACAGCAAGGGGAGCCCAGGAAGGAAAGATGAAGGGAAGACCTCACAAAGACAGGTAGGTGCAGAGGGCCTGGACTGGGCTTCAGTCCTGCCTCTGCCTGGTCAGGGCTTCTCTAGGCCTCATTTTCTCATGGGTAGACTTGATTTTTCTCTCCAGTCCCTCCTATAATTAGGGTTCTACCCAAGATTCTATGAAAAGAAAAATGATAAGATGGGCCTTGTGAACCCAGACCAAAGAAGGGGTATAATATAACAGAAACTCCTGCCCCTGAGTGACCAGACTGTAGGCCCAAGGGGACACAGCCCAGTGGACCTGAGTCTCCTGCAGCAGTAGCTCCCACACATCCTCCTCCCATCACGGGTCAGGTCAGCCCAGGCAAGAGGGAAGGCACTTGGGGGACGAGTGTGGAGGACAGCAGAAAGGGACCAGAGTCTGGTTTGACATCCAAGTCCCTCTGCTCATGGTTTTGGGGAGAGGGTAAGAGAGTAATAGGGGCATTTTGTTCCCAGGTGCTATTCCCAGGAGCAAAGCCCCTCCTAGGCCACAGCTCTGCAGGGCATGGGCCTGCAGACTCCCCGCTGACACTGGCACATTAAAATATAAGTTACCTAGGACCTGAGCAAGCCCAGGGCAGCAGTCTGTCACATGGCCCCAGGCCATGCCATTTGTCACAAGATGTCTGGGCCCCTGGCAACATATTCCCGGGTGTCTCCACAGTGCAGTGCCACCTTGGGGCTGGAGCCAGGCTGCCGTGGGTAGGCGCCCTCCCGTACCAGGCGCCGACACTTCCTATCCTGGCCCACGCTTACGCTCTGCAGAGCTGGGAGGTGGTGGAGCAGCACTTCTGGCAGAGGCACCAGGCCGGTGCCTGACAGGTCCAGTTCCTGCAGTGAGCCCAGGCCTGAGAACACCTCCGCTCCTGTCCACGTGAGCTTGGGGTTGCCTGATAGGTCCAGGACCTGCAGGCCCGGCAGCTCATGGAAGCTGTGGGGCGCCAGCTGGGGGAGACCCTGCAGGCTGGCTAGTGACAAGTGTGTAAGGCCTCCCAGCCCTGTGAAGGCATCTGGGCCAATGCTGGCTAGAGGGTTCCCATCTAGGCTCAGGTAGCGCAGGGGCAGGTCTCTGAGGCTGGGCACTGTGCGGAGCCGGTTCCAGGCCAGGTTCAGGCTCTGGATCGTGGGCACGGGCAGGCTGGCCCGAGCAGGGTGGGGGTGCAGGCGGTGGATGAGGTTGTGGGAGAGGTCCACGTGCAGTGCACGGCCCTGGCTGTGTGTGGTGAAGGCAGATATGGAGACCTCCCGGAGCCGGTTGTGGCTAAGGTTCACGTCACTCAGGGGGGAGCTGGTGAAGCTCTCAGCTGGCAGGGCTACCAGGCCATTGTGGCTGAGGTCAAGCGATTCCAGGTAGCGGAGGCGGGAGAAGGCAGTGGGTGAGATGCTGGTGAGCAGGTTGTGGCTGAGGTCCAGACCGGCCAGTGTAGTGTAGCCTGGCCCGGCCAGCACCGACTCGTTCACCATCTCCAGCCGGTTGGAGGACAGGTCCAGGTGAGCTGTGTCCAGAGGGATGGGCACGGGCATGATGTGGGGGCCCAGGCCACTGCAGTCCACTCGAGTCAGGCTGAAGCTGTCAAACAAGCCGAAGGTCTCCACCTCACACTGGCACCCAGGGAAGCATGGCCGTGTCGTCTGGGCTCCACTCACAGCCAGCAACAGCAGCAGAGGCACCAGCAGCGGCCACGGCATGGTGGGGGCTGGAGAGAGAGCCACAAGTGAGGGCTGGATGCGCCGACAGCTTTTACCCCACCTCAAAAGATATAAGCCAGTGTGTCTGGACACAGCTACACATTGTCACTGGTCCCCATCCTCCTAGAGTACTGTCCCACAATACTCCTCATAATTCCTAGTCCTTGTTCCTCTCTGGCTTCAGTCTCCCATGTGAAGTGTAAGCGGTTAGGCCAGGTTGGTGGACTTTAAACTACAGGTGGCAGAACCCTTTCTTAAATAAGATTAGCAGAAGCAAGTGTGCCTGCTCTTGCTGGAGTTGGAGACCTGGAGCCTTCTAGGTCTGCTTGCCATGCCTGCCACAGAATTTAAGTAACACAGTTTGGAACTCACTGGACTTGATGGTCTCCTAGCTGGCCTCTCCAGCTCTGAGGGGTGAGGGCCCATGGACTGCCTGGACTCCCTAGGGAGTGCTCATAGTGTTTGTACCATGTGATGGGTACTTTACAGCATTACCTCATTGAACCCTCACAATCACCCTGCAAGTGTTGTGGCACTAAATAAAGACACACAAAGCAGGGCCCCTGTGGCTGTTTGGCAGTGGCTGAGCCCTTACTGTGGCCTTCCAGACTAAGGATTTCCCTATAACAACTGCCCCCACCTCACCTACATCTTTGGCCTATTTTCCAGAGGCAATATCCTCCAGTCTAATGGGTGACACTGTTCCTAGACTCCTGCTTTAGGGATACCTGTCCCAAGATTTTTCCTCCTTCCCCTGATCCCTATTCCCAGCTGACATAGCTATTTTACCTCTCTTGCCCTTCTTTTAACCTTGGGCAGGCAGATGAGCTGGTTCCCCCATTATTACAGATGAAGAAACAGAGGTTCAATAAGCATAAAAAAAAACAGGTTCAGAGAGGACAGAGGCCTTACCCCAAACTAGTACAAAGCAGGGCAGGATTAGAACCCAGACCTGCTCAATTCCAATTCTTGCATTCATATCTGCCTGGCAGGGGGATTGGTGGAGAGGCAGGGTGCAGGCGGGGCTTTTCTCATGGACATGCTACAAGTCAATTCCCCTCCCCAGACCTCAGTTTCCCTTGCTGTATAGTTGCAATAGCAGCTGCCACCTATGCCAGGCACTATGTATATCTCATCACATCTAAATGTCACACACACCCATATAGGTCAAACTCAAGGCCTGTATTCCTGCTCACAGGAGACCAGAGGGTGGAGGAGCAAGAGCTTCTAATACATAGTTGGTGCAGTCTGAGTCTACTCCTCCCCTGCACAAGGGCCACTCAGCTGGGGGACAGAAGGCTCTTCGTGTGTGGCCCTGCTGTACCCCTGTTTTCATGCCCTGTCTCCTTCTCACTGGTCACAGGGGAAGAGGGTGGGAGAGGGGCCAGGAGCGGGTGGACCAGAGACCTGCCCACCTTCTTGACTGGGGGCAGTGGAGGGAGCTGCTGGATAACATTACCAGCCCTGCATGAAACTTTAAAGCGGTAGCCACTTGATCTGCACTCTGGCTCTGCGCAGGGCTGGTGAGAAGTGGGGCCCTTCTCCTCTGCCCCCACCCCAAGGGCCCTGCCTCTCCCACCCCTTTCTTTTGTAGAGGCCAATTTGAGAATTAAACCCTGCCCAGGTGCATCCTGGGCTTGGTCCCAGCTGAGGCAGGACAGAGTGTTCCAATGTCTGAACCAAAAGGAAAATATTAAGTTGCTTCAGGCCCCCTTTGTTCCCCAGTGAGCTCCTCACCACAGAGTTCATTACCACCACAGGCCCTACCTCCCCTGCTAAGCCGATCTGCTCATACTCACCCTTCCTGGGGTTTAAACAAACATCACAAAGGGCCCCAAGATTACCCTTTGGTTCCCAGGGGTGATTATATGCTGTGTCCATGAAATGCCAAGTGGCTTCTCATAAGCGCCTGTTTATGTAATGGCAGCTCAAATGCAGCCCGGAAGCTGGCCCTTCAGGCCTCGGCCTTGTCCCTTGCACAATAGGACAGTAATTTCTTCTATGCCCTCCTCATATAAGTTAATTAACCCTCAATGAAGCACACTGCAAACTGTGAAGAGCTCTGCACATGCTCAGAGAGGCTTCCCCCAACCCCTGAACATCTGGACCTGAGCAAAGGTCATAATAGCTGGTGTAAGGGAATGGGAGTATAGATGGAGACCCCTGGATAATGACTGGTAAATGCTCCCAAGGCACTGGGACAGACCTTTGCTTAGCTCTGCCCAGTGAACCTCTCCCAGGGTCCCTGTTTAATGTTAAGGGTAGGCCCAGGACTGAGCATTCCCAGTGGAAGTGCCCACAGTGACAGAGCCAGTCCTCATTGAATGCTAGTACTTGACACACCTCCTCTGGTCGGATCATTATAGACACACAGCAAAGCCAGGAGTGTCATCTCCATTTACAGCAAAGGAAACTGAGGATTCACAGATTCACCTGCTAGCCTGTGTGACTCTGGGAAGTTGTGGGGGAGAAGAAATGGAGAGAACAGTCCCTGCCTCAAGGAGGTTCTATAAGGATTAAAGGTCCCAGGGGTGACAGGCCCAGCACACCAGGACAAAGACCGGTACAGTTATGGGGTGGTCTGTCTCTCACAGGCTACACACAATGGTGTCCCCTAGACAGGTAACCCAAAGACTATCCCAAGCTCCTTTACCATGTTCCAGGATGCTGACAGGGAGGAAACTGGGCAACTGTGCATGGTGGCAAGTCCCGGGGAGTAGTCAGGAGCCGTAGGTCTTCATCCCCCCTCTGCCCTGGACAGCCCCCATCATTGGTCAGGTCCTGCCCCTCTTTGAGCCTCAGTTTCTCCATCTGCACAATAAGGATTTAGTCTAGATGAACCAACTCCAGAGTTTTAGGAGTTTAAAATTTAACAAAAGTGCTTACTAAAGCTTTACTAAGCACAAAGCACTGGGCAGGGTCAGGTTGGGGTAGGGGGTGGAGAGGAAACCAGGGACCTGTTCTCTTGGGGCTTATAGACCAGCAGTGGGGACAGAGACCCACCAATAGCAAGCCTGAGACTCAGAAGACTTGGATCTGTGTGACCTTTGTAGCTCTATTTCTCTGAGCAATTTCTCGTCTGTATAGTAGTATTAACCTGGTCTCCTCCTAGGACCCGTGTTCCACCCTTGCAAGAAAGGAAAAGGCAGACCAGTGGCCACCAAATAAGGACAGGGAGAAGAGGGATCTCTGGGTCAAGATCATCTCCCCCACCAAAACCTGACCTGCCGAGGTAGGCCTGGTAGGGAGTGTGCACCAACACAGAGCTGGATGAACCAAGGACCCATCTACTGATCAACCAGGTTACATAACACACGGGTAGAAAGACAAGTGCTTAGAGATTACACTTGCCCCTGGCTTAGAAGATACCATGAAGTCATCCCTGACTGGGGCCATGAGTTTTTCACTGTTGGGCCATGGTGCCAAATCCACAGTCACTCTAAAGAAGGTTTGCTGAAGTCCTAGGACAATAAGAGTAAATGGTATGGCCCTAAGAGCCCCAGGGAATTCTCCCTGCATGGCACTCCAGGCCTTTTATAAGATGCTTCTCTAAAACAGCTTTGGCCCATCATGGCCCCCTTGGGGTGTTTTTAGCTATAGAGCTTGAATCCTCCCAGGCATGGAGGCCATCTGCAAATTGCGCCACCTTCTTCCTCCCTTGCCCAAGGTAGATTTGGACCTTCCTTGATAGCCAGAGTGGCAACAGCTGTCACCTTTATGGATTCTGAACAACTCTCAGTCTTTGTTCACTTTCCCAAGAATTCCATGGTCCCTTGGAGATCATGGGTGACTGAGGCCCAGTGAGGGGCAGCAACACCGAAGGAATGGCATGGCAGGACCCAGGAGCTGGGACGTGACAGATCATACTGCTGCAGGCATGGCACACATCCACACACCTGGCCCCACCAGCAGAACAAAGCCCACTCTGTCCACGCAGGCTGCAGGCCCCTCCCTCCTGGCCGCACACCACAGGCTACCAGTAGGCCTCCTTCAGAGGCTGCTGAGTGAGTTCTCTGCCATTCAGACTTGAAGTGTAAGCAGTAGGGGCAGATGCCAGCCTTCTTCATCTATGCATCCCTTCCCTCACCTTGGCAGCTCTGGTGGGGTATATGTACCGGCAGAGAGCTGGACGAGCCAAGAGCCCAGCAAGCAACAAGACCCAGACTCAGGTGGGAATCCAGCCTCGGCAAGTTTCAACCCTGCTGTGTCTCCGTGTCCTCGATGGAGATAAGAACAGAGGACTGTCAGAGGATTAAATGACAGCATGTGAAGCTGTTGCTCATTATCTGCCACATGGTGAGTGCTCTATGCGAGTTAGATGGTGATGGAGATGATTTATGAAGCTTCCTACCCAGGATCCAGTGCAGTGCCAGGCACCCAGCAGGCCCATGGCTGCTTGTGCTGACTTCTCCAGTCACCTTGCTGATGTCTGTTGGCAACACCGCAATCTTCCTTCTCCTTGAGGGCATCTCTTGGGTTCGGGGTTTGAGCCAGGCCTTCCTAGCCCTAGTTGCCTGCCCTTGGTGCCCCACTAAATCATCTCTGGCTGAAAAAATTTTCCAACTGCCCCCTAACATCTTCCAGGAAGCCCCTGGCACAAGGGGGCAAGAGGCCAAACTGCAGCCTGGCCCAGGTCCTAGCACCCACCAGAGATAGGCCTTGCCTTGACCAGCTGCTCCTCCCCTGGGTGGCCTCCCCACAACTCCCCTTGGTCATGAGCGATCTGACACTAACCAACCAATTCCATAGGTAGAAATTTCATGAGTGTCCCATTCTCTGACCACCGAGTCCGTTCTGGAAATGCAAGCCCAAACCTGGAGCCCCGAGGGCCAGCTCTCCCTGCAGAATTGCTAATGGTGTACGTCTGCACAGGCACGCCTGCTTGCCACGCTCCTTGCCTTGCTCTAGTTTCTGCCTCCCCACAATCCTGGAGATTGCTGCCACTATTCTTCAGGCAAGGAATGGGACCTCATTAAGCTGGATATGGAGGAACCAGGACTCAAACCCAGACATCTTATCTCCAAATCCAGGTCTCCTTATGCCACTCTTCTCCACTTGAGTGAACAACAGCTTACAACTTATGGTGCAGGATGGTAATTACATGTTTACCGGTCTGTCCTCCTGTGGGCAGAGAGATTCACTTTTATGTCTCTGGAGCTGAGCACAGAGCAGGTACTATATAAAGACACAGCAGGCATCTAGAATATAATTCGGGTACCAAAGGTCACTGCTCAACCTTTCTTATGCTTCCTTATCTGTTCTGTCATTTTGCAAGGTCAGCAGGTTAGATGGCATTGCACTCATGGCTGTTTAAAGAGGCACAGAAAGGTTCAGTGAGTCATACAGCCAGTGCGGGGGGGATAAGAGCTGGACTCAGGACCCAGGTATTCTGATACCCAGCACCTGGCCTCCTCCATGACATCATCCCTGGTGTAGATGGGGTCTGAAAGCCTGGCATCCTTGCCCAAGGAGGACTGTGTACAGGGAGATGGGCAAGGCTCACAGTGCTGCTTTCTCTTTCCACTGTGTTCTTCCTCAAAGACTTTCATATTCCCATTAATCAGAGAGCATGTGTGGACACTGTGGGAGAGAGTATGGCACAAAGGAAAGGGGTTCTGAAGCCAGGCAGCTGGACTCCAACACTCTAGGGCTTACCTGCAGCAAGGCTTGTGGGTGCCCTCACCCAAATCTGAGTGTTCTCTGTACTGTGTGAGAAGCCTAGTACTGCTCCAGCGAGTCACTGTGATGATCAGTTCTGGGCTGGCACGGACGGGTTCTCACTGCATGTTGATTCCTGCCCCCTAATGGGTGACTGCAGGGACCAGGAAAGAGAAAGGAACTGTAACACCAATAGATGCTGAGGCAGAGGATAGAGAAGAATCTAAAATTCATCCTCTGAGACCTTGGAGTCTCTCTCACTTCATCACCCAGAGCCTAACCAGGCTCTGCCGGAGAACTGATAAGGACTAATGCAAAGGTCTCAGAGGCCAAAGCAGGCTGAAGCAGTTGTGTTGTCTGTGACAGAATGAGGACTTGGTGTCAAACCAGAAGCCACCCCTAAGCAGGTGGGTCTGCTTCTCTTTCCTTCTTCCCCACGTTTCCCTGCCCAGGTAGGGCTCAGGGGCCTGCTGCAACAGGCTGGTGCCTGACCCCTGTTTCTAACTGCCAGTCATGCTGGGAACCAGAGTGCACCTCCCAACAGAGGACCAGGACACTATCATTACTCCCTGTTTAAACACCGGCTGGTTATGTGCTGAGCATGTGAGAAGCCCTAAATTCAATCCCCAGCACTGCAAAAAATAAAATAAAAATAAAACCCATTGTGTAAAGACAGCTTTCCAGGCTGGAGGTGAATCAGTCCCCAGGAACCCTGCCTCTGCACAGGCTGTTCCTTTTGACAAAGATGACAAAGGGATCCTTCTTTTGTCTACTGCAGATTCTCACTTGTTTGAGTCAAAATCTACTTCCTCTGTGGGGCCTTCCCAGTCTAATCTTCCCCTCATCACCAAAGGGTCACTCTCCCCCTGGGCTCCTGAGTTATCCCTAGTCTGTCTACAAATCTCTGTCCAGCTCCTCCCCTGCACAGGGCTTGGCTATGGGAAGTGGGTAAGCCAAATGAATGAATTGTCAGGGACAGAGAGTTTCTTTCTGCTTGGAGATACTTGCAGGATGCTTAGAGCTTTGTGAATGGTGAAATCAGGTTTAGGACCAGGGAAGATATGGTTTCTGTCTTCTATTGTCAGTGCAACCCAGCAAATGTCTGCACAATGTAATACATACTGCAAACCACTTCTCATCTTATTAGCATGTGTAATACATTGTCCTATTAACATTCACAACTGATCAGTAGAGCAGAAATGAGTATCCTCATCTGAAGGATGAGGAGACTGAGAATTGGATGGATAGGTGAGATTACTTGTCTCAAGTTACAGAGCCAGGAAGCAGGGGAGTAGGATAAAATCCAGGACCTTCTGACTCTAGGAGGCTGGAATACTTTGCCTCCAGATTGATCTTCCAGCCTCTAGTGCCACCCATAAGCCAGAGGAAAGTTTCTTAAAATTACCCATCCCACCCTATTGCACCTATTGAGACCTTCCAGCAGCTCTCCACTATCTACAGGTTCAATTCCCAGCTCATAATGATCCTCTGTGATTTGGCCCCTGCCTTCCCTCTTCCAGTCTCCAGTTCAACTCCAATTCCCCACCCCCTAGATCTTGTGTCAGTCTAAAACGCTGACCACCTTTGTGCTGTTTCTAGAACACATAGAGTTCTGCATATGCTGTTCCTTTTGTGGGAGACCCTTCTTGCCTCCCCTGTCTATTGATGACTTCAAAAACCTGAGCAAAGTTACCAGTTCTATCAGGCCCCTCCCCAAAGTACTCCCATGAAAATGTCTTAGAACTTGCTTTGGCAGGAGACTTCTATGATGGGCTCAGCCCTCTTTAGGAGCACCCTCAGTGTACAGCCCAGCTGTGCCCTGTGAAAGGATGACTGAACTCGTAGGTGTATCTCCCCTGTTTTGAACCAGAAGTTATGATTAAAAAAATATTGATCATTACTCTGTTCATCCCTAATCTGTCATTTAAAAGCTATGAGAATCCAGGCTCCCTGGCACATGCCTATAATCCCAGTAACTCAGGCGGCTTAGGCAAGGCCCTAAGCTACTTAGAAACCCTGTCTCAAAACAAAAACTCAAAAGGGCCGGGATGTAGCTCAGTGGTGAAGTGTCCCTGGGTTCAATCCTTAGTACTACTACTACTACTACTACTACTACTACTAATAATAATAATGAATAAATAAAATGCAATGGGGAGAGCCGTGTCAATGCCTTCCTTTCCCTCCATTTTTGACTGATCAGCTTTTGCCTTTCAACAGGTGGAGACCGTAAGTGGAAGCCCTAGTTTGCATTCCAGTCTGGGAGCAAATCAGTGCCTGGGAATTGAGCAAGCCAGAATGGAGGTGTATTACACATCAAAATGTTTCCAGGTTCTGGGATCTCAAGCAGTCAGCCAGAACAGCAAGGAGGGAAGAGGCTGTCCACACCTCTCCTCTCAGAAAGGAAACTAAAAGCCAGAGACAGAAAATAAAGTGACCACATTGCCTCCTTCTCAGTTTAGTATCCGTGCCCCTCCCTCTTGTTTGCAGCACTTAGGCAAAGTTCTTGGGTTAAAGACTGGGGTGGGGGATGGGGAGGAGGACGTTGGTGTTATCTTTGCCACCAGGGACCAAAAGATCGGCAGGGCTGAGCCTTTCCTCTCCGGTCAGTCACTGGGTTCAGCAAGTCTAGACTTATCCGAAGGGCACAGCGCGCGGCGAGGAAGGATGGAAGTTTGAGTCACCTCCTCGCCGGGCCAAGTGTGGGCGGGCTCTGCTCTCAGCCGGGTTTCTAGCAAGCACTGGTTAGCCCGACCGCACGCTTCGGTGGTGAGGGAGTTCTCACTCCATCCATAACAGGGTGATGGCGACAGCAAGGCTTAGCAACACGTCCGGTGTCCTAAAGTGGGCCACTGACTGTTGCGTACCAAATCAGTGTGTGCAAGGTTCCCCCTGCCCGCAACCCAACAAGGGGTCCTGGAGCCGGCGCTGCGAGCAGGCCTGTATCCCCACAAGCCGTGGCCTTCTCACCTACCGAATCGGAAGGCTGGTCCCCTCACCCCGGGGGCGGGCTGCAAACTCAGAGCGGATCTCAAAGCGGAACCGGGCTGGAGCCGATCTCTCTGCCAAGCAGACAGGTCTCTGTCGGTCACACACTCTCTCCAAGAAGCACGGGGCAGGCAACGCCAGGAGCCTTCTCTCCTCTCTCCAGACTCAGGCCAGAGACCAGGACCAGCCGCTCCCCTCCCTCCTCCCAGCAGGGTCCGGTGCGGGTGTCCGGCATGCTCCGCCCAGTCCTGGCCCCGGCCCGTCGCCAGGCGCTGTCGATCCCCTACCACTCACCAATCCTATCCCATCCTCTCGCGCGGCCCTAAGGACCTCAGGAGGTGAAAGAAGGGCGGGCTGCCAGAGATCTCCCACCCCCGGCTCAGGCCGGGCTGCGGCTGCGGGGTCCGGGGCGGTTTCCCTAGGAACCCGGAGAAAAGTTTGAAGCCAAGTCGGGGTGGGGGGGGGGGGGGGGTGGACAGCTGGGGAACGAGGAGTCAGGGCGGCGTCCGGCTCTCAGCACGCACACACTCCACCGACACCCAACCCAGACACGTCGACAGCACAGACCACGTACGCGGACACACAACGGTGAGCCCACCGGCAGCCACCATCAACGCGAGTCCACAAAACGTGAGCACCGGCGCAAAATAGCCGTGCAGAGTCAGCGACACACAAAGGCACAGGCGGATGCACGTCCCTGAAGCCAAATCCACAAAGTCCCACAACAGTGAGATGCACGTGTCCGCACAAAGACCCCACAGGGGACGGCCCACGCCCACGGCACCCGGGCAGCGCCTTTGTCTCCTGGAAGCCCTCTCCCCCTGGTCCGGGTTCCCCACTGCCGCCGAGTCCCGGGCGCCCGGCAGCGGCTGCTGTCGCCCTGGCTCCAGGTAAAGTTGAGGGGCCTTGGCGGGACCCGGGCGCCGTCCGCCCCGGGATGGCTAGGAGCGGTCGGGGGCTCCGGACCTTCGCCCGCCGCGCCGACTCCGGCTCCACCTGACGACCCGCACCCACCTGGAAAGCTACGCAGCTGCCTCCTCAGCACGCTCACCTAGGCGGCCCTGCGCTGGCCCTCGGGCCGGCGCTTTTCTCCGCGCCGCGCGGCCCGCCCCCAGTCCCCGCCCGCCGCGGGACTCCGGCTGCCCAGCGCCCAGTGGCGACTCCGGCCGGCGGCCCGGCGGCTCAGGGAGTGTCGCCAAATTGCCGGCCTTGCCCGGCGTGCTCCAGCCCCGCCTCTGCCGGAGCCCGGGTTCCATCCTAGGGAGCGTCTCAAAAGTGCGCAGCTCCCACCTACTCCAATCGGCGTTGCTCCCTGCTTCCTGCATCCCGGATCCCTTCCCCCTCCTCCCGCGCGCCAGAGCAATCTCAGCAGATGGCTTCACGGTCGGGAACATCTGGAGGTCGCTGGATTGTGTGTGTGTGTGTGTGTGTGTGTGTGTGTGTGTGTGTGCGCGCGCGCGCGCGGAGAGAAGGAGAGAAAATTATTTGTTGGTAAGAAAGAGATTGGAAGAATGAGAGTTACCTCTCCTGGAATTCTCTGCCCGCTCCCCATTTCATTAAAAGAGTGAAAGGGATCCAGTGATGTTACTGAGAGACCAAGAATCTGAAGCAGAGAAAGACTTGCTGAAAGAGGAACCCACAGAGGGGACAGCCCGGGTTAGGCAGAAAAAGCTGGCAGACAAGGAGTGAGAAAGCCAACAGACTTATTTTTCTCTTCTGGAGGGAACTATAGACTTCTGGCTGGATTTCTAGGAAGGGAAGCTGCTATGTGACTAGGCAGCAGCTTAAGTCTGTCCCTCTGCAGCTCATCTTCTCCACCCCTCTGTATGCTAAAAAAGGGCAGGAAAGTAGCCAAATAACTTTTTAAAATAGGGCTTGCAGAAATTACCTGATGAATGCATTCCCTGGAAGGCTGAGCTGGGGGCAGGAATGAGGCTCCCAAGACTACACACCCAGATAATGCCAGCCCCCTTCCAGGGAAGGGAGGGCAGTTCCCAGGCACTTGACAGATCCAATGAGGGGGTGGAGGCAGGCTTTGGTTTTAGCCCAGGACCTCCCAGGAACTTTTTCCCCTCTTGGAGAGAGCCCCTGGGTGAAGATATTGGGCAATGTTCCCCCTACAGAGGCCCAGACTTGTTACACTCGCCTTTTTGCTCCTTCTTTCCTTATTATGTAAAAATCAAAACTAAAATAAACAACAAAAAAGAAATGTTGCTCGAGCTTGTGAGTTGTGTGTGTGTGTGTGTGTGTGTGTGTGTGTGTGTGTCTGCCTGCCTGGGGAAGAAAGGGAGGTCAAAGTCAAACTTGCTACTCAGAGAAGGAAGTGATCTTGTAGGTCCTCCCCCAGCACGTATAGTCTGAGGGGGTCTAGGGTACTCACCTGAATTGAGTGGGGTGACCCTGCCAATTAGGGAGGAGTAAGGAGACGGTTGGGATCCTGGTCTCCTCTGTGTGGAGCTGGGAGAGACCCTTTCTCTTATCTGCCCATTGTCTTTCCTGGTTAGAATCTAGCCTCCAGAACTGGGACGCCCTCTTCAGAGTCCTCATCAAACCTTCTGAAATGGTGCCAGAGGCTCCTTTATGGCCAGGGTCCTCCTTAGCAGTCTGGCTTAGTAGATAGTCTGGCTCAATACAAGGGTCTGCTGGAATTTAACTTTGCACCACCTGGGGCCCTTGAGGAGGAGTTGAACTGTCTTTCCCCCACCCCCCACCCAAAGACTCTGCCTGGATGGGAGAGAGACCTGAAATGAAAGTCCAGAAAGGTCCCGGCTTGGACAGACTTCAGGTTCCAGTCCTGCACTTAGCAGCTCTGGGTCACCTTAGGTAAGTCACATAACCACTGAAACAGTTTCTGCAATTGTAAAAGAGGTTGTGGTGAGGAGTAAACAAGTAACATAGGTAAAGCTTTAACCTGGCTCACAGGAAGCTTCATTGTGTGGTTGTAATTACTAAAATGTCTCCCAGAAGGGATTGGGGTGGAGGCTGAAAGTCTTGCAGGCTTGGGAGGGGAGGGACTGGGGGAATGATCCCTTGACTCTGACTTGTCCAGTGTCTGTGACTGCTGCCTCCTCTATCCTCATGGGGAGGTTCTTTTGGGAACCCGCTTGCCCTGGCCTTTCACCCTCCCTTCCCTGGATGTGGAGTTGTGGAGTGAGTAGTACTCAACTTTCAGAAAACTTAGGGACACTAACTACCACTACACTTTCTTGGTAAGGGCTTCTCATTTAACATCAATGTGGTAAACAACTCTTCACTCCTTGCTGGTAGCTTGTCTTCCCTACCTGGAAGGTGGCCTCCAGGGAGAGTCTCCATCAGTTTACTTATCCCTCCCATCCCCGGGCCTCAGGTTAACCATCTCTCTGCCTTGAGGCTCTGCCCTCCTATCTGCTGTCCACACTGCTATAAGAGTGACCTTTCTAAACAGCAAATCTGCAAAATGGACCATGACACTTGTCTTTTAAAACCTTACAATGGCAAAAGCCAAACAATTGTAGGCCTGTGGTCACCCCTATTCTATATCCCAAGCTCTAGTCATGTAGAAATAAAGGGAGGTGAAGGGACAGTAGTATCATGTATTCTTTAAGTCTCTGTCCAATGCTTCCTTCCTCCAGAAAACCCTCTGGCAAAGTTGGTCCCTTCTTCTATTAAGTTTCCAGTCACTTTGTACCTAAGGACTGTCATTGTCACCATTCTTCCGCCTTCCCCTTTTGTGTTCATCTTGGCCACTGAGACATTCCAGTGACTGTGCTGGGTACTTTGGGGTTGAGGATACAACTCAGTGATGGTGATTGCCTGGCATATGTGAGGCCCTGGGTTTGCCCAGCACCTGAAAAAAAGTCATTATGTCATTTTTATGTCAACAATAACCATCCTAGAATAACAGTGGAGAGGCCCTGAAAGGGCAAGTAACCTGACTGAGGTTACTCAGCACATTCTCTGTAAAGTTAGAAGAGAGGACTCCATTGATCTTTCTACTACCTGCAATTTCCAGGAGGAGCAAAGTATGGTGTAGTAGAAAGCAGGTATAAATTGTCACTGTGTTTCTGGCTAACTGTGAACCTTGGGCAAGTCACTTTTCCCCCCCAGAACCTCAGTCTCCTTGGCTATAAAATGGAGATAAACCCTAATTTGAATAAGTTATACTCCATGTATATATAATATGTCAAAATATACTCTACAGTCATGTATATCTAAAAAGAAAAAAAATGTTTTTTAATGGAGATATACAAGAAGCCCTGCTTCCTGAGTATATTGGAAAGATCAAATGAGTTCATATAGATGCAAATGTGTTGGAAGCTGTAGGGTGTTGTGAGCTTTGAATAGAGGTACCTGCTCACTGTTGTGAGGCTGGGAAGGATTGTTTGAGGATCTTTTTTCTCTGTGACCAATGGAGGTTAAAAGCACCACTAATCCTTTGGCTGCTTTGCTCATTGTTTAACACTTTGAGAAAGATCCTTTTTCTCTCGCTTGTCAGAGCTATCAAGCCCTGACCAGAACACCCTCCAAACCCAATGCATCTCCCCAAACTTCCAGAATCTCTGTTTTTCTTGCTACGTTTCCTTCTGCTGTCAGAAGCTGGCAGGTCTAAAGTCAACAGAGCATCCAGACTACATGAGGAAAGAACAGAAAGGAGAGCATGGAGAAAAAGAACGTGTCTCCCACCGATCTGGGTTGGCATGTGGCATGTTATGTTTTTTAAAAGCCCCTCTGGTGATCTGACGTCATTATGAGGACTGGGGGACGTAGCAGAATGCCTTAGTGTTGGCAAAGTTCTTCCACAACACATTCTCATTTTTAAAACTCCGCATGAACTTCTTAGGTAGCTGAATATCACCTTCATTTTACAGACGTGGAAACAAATTCTGCAGTGACTCATCCTCGGTCACACAGCTGGGACTTCAAACTGGACCAGTGAGATAACTGCAGCCATTCAGCTGCGGGGCAGGATTCTGTGCGCAGGCCTTTGCTTGTGTCTCAGCAGTCACTAGATGAACGTTCCTCCCCTCCTGCCAAATCTAATGTGTCCCTAAATATTTCTCTCCCACTCTCCCACCCCCGTGCTTTTTCCCCTGCTGGGAATGCTTTTCTCAGCCCAGGCTACCAGCTGCAGTCCTCCTCACTGGCATCCCAACCCTGCCACCTCCTTTCCAAAGGCTTCTCTTCCTTGAGCCTAGGAGCACTTGGTTTGTGCCTCAGGACAGCCCACTTTCCTGCCCTGCGCTGCCTCCACGGGGTGCTCCAGCACACCCAGCTGTTAGGGCTTCCTGTAAAGTGTGGCATTTCCAGGTCTTTGCTCCTCTTTTGCCACCTACAGAAGTGCCCCTTGACCCACCCATCTCTTACTTATTCACACTTCAACGCAGGCATTGTCTCTTCCAGAAAGCCTCCCTTCCCCAGCCCCACTCTACCATGGAGAGCCCTTCCTTGTGCTGCTGTGTGATACACTGAGGGAGGTTCTGTTTGAACAAGTTTGTTGGATCATTCATTTATTTATTACAGAAAGGTGTACTCTTTGGAGCCAGACTCCTCAGGTTTGAATCCCAGCTACTGAGTGGGCAAGTTCTTACACCAATCTCACTCTGTGTTTTACTTTCCTTATCTATAAAATGAAGAAAGATAGAAGTACATTGGATTAGACAAAAGGGAATGAAGGGAAGGGAGGGGGGATGGAAATAGACAGTAGAATGAATTGGACATAACTTTCCTATGTTCGTATATGAATACACCCCCGGTGAAACTCCACATCATGTACAACCACAGACTAGAATCCTAATTAGAATAAGTTATACTCCATGTATGTATAAATACGTCCAAACACACTCTACTGTCATGTATAGCTAAAAAGAACAAATTTTTAGAAAGTAGTAAAAAAATTTTAAATGGAGAAAGTAACTCCAACCTCAAAGGTTATTGTAAGGATTAAATGAAAATTCATGTAGAATGTGTAGAACAGTGCCTGGAATATTGGTAACTGCTCTTATGATTTATTAGTTCATTGTACAACACAGGAAAGATATTTGTAAAATTGGACAGAGAAGAGGATCCTGGAAAGATGGCAGAATAGGAAGCATGAGGAATCTGTCTCCCTG